CGGATCAGTCTGAGAAACGATCGGGTCAAATTGTTGGAGAAAGGTTCTCCGAACAGTCTATGTCTGGTCGAATCGGGAAAAGTAAGTATGATTGATTTATTTGGCTCTTAAGTTGTTCGCTTCTCGAGTACCGAGTGTGCGGTAATCGTTTTTTTTTTCTCACTGTTCATATCGATGGAATGAATGGAATTGAAGTGAGTGAATCCCACTGTTTGACTGTGATAACGCGCAATCTCTGATAGCGAAATCCCATAAGGTCGCGGNTGTTCTCGAATCGGACACCAGTGAGGCTAACACATCGCTCAATTCGTGTGTGAAGCTTGATTATCGTGCACCAGTTCGTGCTCCTGACCCCATCAATCACAGTGACCCCCCTCCCCGCCCCCTCACACACACATTGCATGCGTGGGTCCAGGTTACGAATTAAGCCGGGTCTATGTTCCTTTGTATCACGATTTATGGATGAGAATGGGCGAGTGTTTTCCGTATGACCACACTCTGATTGTATGACTGCGTCGGTATCCGCTTTGGCAACATGTCACGGTGACTGGTTCCATAATCACCCTGCTAAGTAAGCACAGAAATACGTGTGTGTGTGTGTGTTTATGGGCCGTCAGTCCATTACTTTTGGTTTTATCTTCGTTGCATGAAATTGGATGGTCAGAATCTGGTTCGGATTTTTGTTACTGAGGTATTGGATGGCAAAAGCGCACCGCGATTAGATCTTTTGACCTAAGCGTCTCCACAACACCACTTTCTCAACCCCCTGAGATGCAGAGATATAGTCTATATATGTGGACTTTTTCCTTACGTGTTCCAAACAAATATACCCGGCGTTGCAAATATTTAGATATGTTTTCCATGTATTTCTTTTCTTCATTTCGAGGCTTATTCTCGTGAACAGATTTAACTCAACCGGTATACATCAAATCCTAAGTGGACGGGCGGTGGTGGCCCGGTGGTCATCAAATTATCACCCCGGGGATGTGTGTTCGAATCCCACCATCACCGCCTGACTTTACCCATTGTGCGTGTTGAATGGCAGCCCTTTGATTGGCCGCTTCCTCCCTTCCTGAAAATTGTACCATTACATGTTCAATAAAAGGAAGTAAAGGGAAATAAAAGACTGATCAACGTCACAGTAGCCAATTAACGCAGAGCTTCGTCTGTCACCGTAGATAGCTTTGTCATCACCTGATATACTATCCTACATACTCTACTCGGCCCCCTAGGGCTACTGTCGTCGGTTTCTTGTGATTGCGTGATTCATTTCTTCTACGTTCATCAAATTGATATGTGAAATAAAATGGCCACTTTATTAGAGACAGGAACTAGATATCTAGGGTTCCCTGTCCTCAATTCTGGGTTTTCGTGAATCACCTGCGATCTGCCGGGGCTGAATAAGTTCCCTAGTTGTTAGATCGGACGAACCGTCTGTACAGGTGTATCCATCGTCTGGTTCGAAATTTCAAGCCAAACCGTCTGTGAGGGGGGCGAAAATCAGACGATGATCCGAAATTTTGAACTTGCTTACTTACGACGGCGGCTGGCTCCTGGAGGAGGATAAGCCGGCTTCATGGATATTGCGAATTGCCGCTGCCCACGCTCGGTGATCTTTGGCAAGATCAGCTCAGATTGTGTTCCAGCTTAACTTCCATTGGTGAATGCCGTAGACGGAGCGGGGACCAAGATTTTCTGTATCCTTTAGTCCGGTGTCCACCGTGTCGATAGCGCCAGTTCGGGCAGAGAGGCGATGCCAAGGCAGCTTTTATCAGGCCGTCAATAGACTTACGAAGTATGTGACCAAACCGTTGTATTAGCGTCTGCAGCCATATAAGTTTAAATCACTGATTTCTGACCGCTTCATCGTACTCCCAGAATGATTCTTAAGCACCAGTGATCTAAAACTTCTAATCGTCGACAATCTTCGACTCTAAGTGATCATGGTTCACAGCCGTATAGCAAAACTGGGCAGACTGTTGCGGAGAAAAATTGTATTTTCTGTCTTGAGGCTGATTTCATTTCTAGGCCAATGGGAATTCTTCAGCTGTAAAACCGCATTTCTTGCACACCCATCATATTGATTGTTTCATCATTTGTCGAACCATTTCACCTTGTAACATATCCCGAGATGCTTGCCGTAATTAGCACTTAGAATATGTTCCCCCCTCGCTCTCTCCCTCTCGGGGCTATGATCAGCACAAAAGCCAAATCAACGGTGAACACATTGATGAAACAGGTATTTGTGCTTCTTTGTCCGATCATGTTAAAGGACCATACACACTCAGATCGGACAACAAATCACCTTAGTTAACCTTGCCACAGTCGGTCATGTTTCACCACACTGAAAATCGTGATAACACATGCACATGGCCTTTTTTTCTCCCCCGTACAGCTTCTGCCAGGGGTCCATGTCGCTATCGCGAATCCGGACACTTTGGGCCAATGCGCGGACTCCCAGCTGGGCGAGATTTGGGTATCGTCACCCCACAACTCACCTGAACTGCTCGGTCCATTCGACAGTGCCAGCCTGACCCGTGCCCCAGGCTCCCAATCCCAACCGGTCCCCGGGAGCAATGCAGCCGAGGCACTGACCGCTCATCTGGTGACCGGAGACACGGAACGAACGTACGCTCGGACCGGATTTCTGGGTTTCGTGCGACGTACCGAGTTAACTCAGTCCGACGGCGGTAAGCTTTTTCGTTAGAGGCGCATTAAAACGGTTTGTAATTACTGGACAATGGATTCACATCCCATTGTTCACAACCTTTTTAAATGACAGCATTAAATCGAAATATATTACGCTGTCAAACGGAGCTTTGTGTTTGTTATAAAAAATATTTTGTTATATCGCCATTGCTCATGTGTACTTAGATCCCAACCTATTACCGTGTCCCAAAACCTGCTTTTCCGAACATCTTGTTACACACACACACACACACACTATCGTTTGCTCGTACTATTCCAATTCTCCGCTTTTTCACATCCGTTCGGACAGAATTACACGATGCAATCTTCGTTGTCGGCAGTTTGGAGGAAGCTATTATGCTACGCGGTATGCGATTTCATCCGGTCGATAT